TTATAAAGCAATAAAGGTTCCTTTAAATGGACTTGCATGTTAAACATTTAACTGTTCTTAGCGTAGCTGTATCAAAACATAATACCTAAAAATAAACTTTATATAAACAAGACTCACCAATATTTAATTACAAACATAAATTAATAGATTATAGTATTCTGGTTATCTTTTGATACTTCTATGTCAGACTTGGTTCATATTGGCTAACTTTATTTGTATTAATGTTTTCATCTTCAATAAGATTTTTCTATGAGGGTACTCGACTCACAATCTTCCGGTCGCGAGTTCGAATCCCGTCAACGAATATGCTGGAACTTTCAGCCATGGGGGCGTTATAATGTGACAGTCACTTCCACTATTCGTTGGTAAAATAATAGTCCAAGAGTTGGAGGTGGGTGATAATGACTAGCTGCTTTACCTCTAACCTACTACTTCTAAATTTGGGACGGCTAGTCAAGATAACTTTCCAGTAACTAAATTCAATAAACACACAAACTATGGGGGTAGGGGGAAGACACCACTCGGAATACTACTACTTTATTGTCTGTTTGTTAAGGTTAAAATGTCAAAAAATTAATCTTTTTAAACAGTGAACTACTATTTTCAAGAAGATTAATTTTTGACTCTGACAAGATAAAATATACAGAAATAGAAACGCAATGAGAACATTATATTATCAATATGTTGTAGTTCCAATTAATTATATTTTTTGTTCTTTACCCTGATTGTTATTTTTGAAAAATATTATTTCCTTAACATTTTAATATTTATTTTACTTAATTAACATTTTTATTCGGATATTTATTATCATCTTTTTGTGTTTAAAACGACCCCCCCCCACGAAAAAAAGAGAAATTTTCATGTTTTCAAAAGTTGTTTACATTTTGAGATGAAATAAACTTAAGTTGCAGAATATTAAGAAAAAAAAAAGTTGTAGCCATAACCAAACATTGATTACTTGCCACCAAAGACTGAAAAACAATGCGACAGGAACAGTAATAGCTAATTGTAAGTTGGACCAGTCTCTTATAAACCACGCCAATCCTGGCAAGATGATGTAGCCGAGAGCCCAGCCAAACTCGAAGCATATCCCCAGGACATCACGGTAGTCTACACCAACTGATTCCATAACTGTAGAAAGAGTTGGACAAGATAAACATGCTAAATATAGCGTAAAACAGAAAACAGTTACCATTTACAACTAATAAAAATATCAAACCCGATATATTTCTTGAAGTGAAAGTGCCTCAACTGTTTAAAATACTACAATATTTATGTGAAGCCCAATCTAGGATTCAATTCACCACTTGTCATTGAGGTAATATTGCTTTCGGAGAATTCCACCATTCATCAAAAACCCTGCTGAATAATTCAGAAGAACGAATTAGTAGAATCAATGCTACATATTCTTCAAATGCTATATATAAATATGGGTTAACTGTGGCTAGCGAAATACAACTCGAAGCACCGTACATATAACATATATTCAACCACTGCGTTAAGCCTAAACTTGTTGTTTCGATTCTCCCCTGTTAAAATTTTTAAACAATAAATAATACATTTTATATCCTATACATCCATTATGATCAGTCATCTCTTCTATTTTATCCCATCGCATAGCTGAAGAAAGGGTGTACCCCACTGCTGATCCGCCAGTCTCTTGGCTGGAGTGAAATCGCGTATTATATATTATTCTTTCGATTTTCCCTCGTTCAGGGTTACTGATGAGAGGTGGAATTTTCAGAAAACGGTATAACTTGCTGACAAGTGGTGTATCGAATTATATAATGCGTTTCATGATTATCTTTATTTTATTAAACAGCTTATCTGCTGAATAGGTAACTAGCATTAATGCTACCATATTTTTCGAGTCCAATCTGAATACAGATTCATTGTGATGAATAAAATATAGCTAAAAATAACTATAAATATAAGCTCGACAGCTGCTTGAAGAATCTTTAAGTGGCTTGTTAGAATATCCCAATATAACCATAATGATTTATAAAGCTTCTACCGAATATTAACAGAGGATCTTTCCCTTTATCAAAGGTGCCTCAGTTGTAGAGATCGGACGTAAATAAATCTGGGATTTAAGCAATTTTTAGTGAGATATATACAGTACCTAGCATCCAATGGATTATGACTATTACACTTTAAAGTTTCGAGGAAGCCAAAAGTTGACCACATTATGAGTGGCCACATCATCAGCATAAATACCATTGGTGATGATATGCCGAAAAGTAGAAAAGTTCCAGTCACGATCAGGGTGGATTGAAGCTATATATTGTAGATCTGTTGAAAGGAGTAGTAGTTTTCTGCTAGGTAAGAATATCAAAAACAAGGTTTCCAACCTATAACAGACAACGAAGAAAAGTTGTATAATTTGATTTCAGAATTAAAAGAGAGATAATCTGTTAGAGTAGGTGACCGTTGCAGGGAAAGTGATGCAGCCACTTCGAAATCCTGCGTCTCTTTGATAGCTCATAACTCCCTATTGAAATATGTTACCATCATATGAATTGTATTCAAATTCGATGACGAGGAACCCACTTTGAGACTAATAATGGTTCGAGACGGCTTGAATGG